TACTTCTCTTACAACCCCATCTATAAATATATTAAACAACAACGGTGACATCACACATCCTTGTCTAAGGCCTACTTTTACTGGGAAATAATCTCCCTCTTTCCTACATACTCTAACTTGAGCCTCACTATCCTCGAAAAAACTCTTCACTGCTTTCAGTAACCTACCCCCTGCACCATACACCTGCAACAACTGCCACATTGCCCCCTATCCACCCTGTGATATGCCTTTTCCAAATCCATAAATGCCACAAAAACCTCTTTAGCATTATCTAAATACTGTTCACTTATACGTTTCAATGTAAACACCTGGTCCACACATCCCCTATCTTTCCTAAAGCCTCCTTGTTCATCTGCTATCCTATTCTCCGTCTTACTCTTAATCTTTCATAATAACTCTACCATACACTTACCAGGTATACCAACAGACTTATCCCCCTATAATTTTGCACTCTCTTTTGTCCCCTTTGCCTTTATACAAGGAACTATGCATGCCTCTGCCAATCTCTAGGTACCTTACCCTCTCCATACACTTATTAAATAATTGCACCAACCACTCCCAAACTATATCCCCACCTGCTTTTAACATTTCTATCTTTATTTCCATCAATCCAGCTGCCTTACCCCCTTTCATTTCACCTACTGCCTCACGAACTTCCCCCACACTCACAATGGCTCTCCTCACTCCTGCAAGATGTTATTCCTCCTTGCCCTATACACGAAATCACAGCTTCCCTATCTTCATCAACATTTAACAATTCCTCAAAATATTCCCTCCATCTTCCCAATACTCTCTACTCTCCATTTAATAACTCTCCTCTCCTATTTTTAACTGACAAATCCATTTGTTCTCTAGGCTTCCTTAATTTGTTAATCACACTCCAAAACTTTTTCTTATTTTCAACAAAATTTGTTGATAGCATCTCACCCACTCTCTCATTTGCTCTCTTTTTACATTGCTTCACCACTCTCTTAATCTCTCTCTTTTTCTCCATATACTCCATATATAAATGAACATTTAACATCACACTTACCTTTATTGAAGACTTTTGTTGGTGTATGGTAGATGGGGCAAAGGGTGGGGAGGCGAGTTTATTGTTGGAGAATATGACACTAATATCAACTCAACTGCTTATTAATCTATCACAATGTAACTAACATGACATAAACAATATTAATAACATAGAAACACGGAATATACTCTAGAATGAATTAAGTAAGTCATTATGACTGTCACAAGAAGTGTTGTGTTGTTGTTGTTGGGGGTATAAGGGCCACTGAGAGCATAAGCCGTCCATAATGGTGGTGACGCAGCAGCTGATGCGGCGGTGTTTTCTGTATATATAACTCCAACAACGTTGGAGGAGTTGGTAGAATCGATGAATCACTGAAGAAGGCACCCTCTGCCACTATCACAACCACTACTACCCTCTACCACCGTGAATTCACTACCACCTTCTACCACTATCACAACTGCTACCACCATCACTACCACCCTCTACCACCATCACTACTACCCTCTACCACTATCACAACTTCTACCACTCTACCACCACCACCTTCGTATTTTTCTACAAATTTTTTCTTAAATTATATGTGTTTCTCACATTCTTTACCAAAGGGCTGGCACTAGAAGCTTTCTTTGGAGCCATGGTGACTTATTTAGCAGTTGCAAGCACTAAAACAAATGGAATATTATGAAATTTATCATATGAACTTGTGGGATCATCCTCACTCACTGATAAACAATGGCACACTGGCTGGGAATAGAGTGTGAGGCGGCTCAGGGCTGTGTGTACGTGTCCCAGATGAACAACTACTTGCGAGTGAAACGACGATTCGGGAGTCATTGTTTTGACGAAAATAATGTTACGATTTTCGAAAATTACGACTTTCGAGCCTTACGATTATCGAAGGTCCACTGTATATACTGATAACTGGTACACAAGCCCCATACTCAGTGATTTCTTGTGAATGAACATGACAGACGTGTGTGGCACAGTGCGTGGTAATCGTAAGCATATGCCTAGGCTTGATGCTGGCACTCGCAGCGGTGAGGTGCAGGCCTTTGCTGCCAATGACATGGCATTTCGGTGGCATGACAAACATGATGTCACATTGTTGACATCAGTTCACTGAAACGAAATGGCAGACAGTGGCAGGCAGAATAGAGAGACCAAAATATCTGCTTGGATGACAGCCAATAAATTTACACTTAAAACTAACAAAACCTTCTATATTATATTTGGTAACAGAGCAGATGTTGCACAACTTAACATTAAGATCGACAACACTCTTACTGTCAGACATAATGAGGGCAAATTCCTAGGCCTACACCTCGACAGCAACCTGAATTTCAGCACATAGATCCAACACAAAACAAAAAAAGTATCCAAAACGGTTGGGAACTTCTCCAATATACGTTACTACATGCCACAATCTGCCCTTCTCACCCTATACCATTCACTCCTTTATCCCTACCTCACCTACGCTATGTGTGCTTCGGGATCAACTGCAGCAACACACCTAAAGCCAATAATAACCCAACAAAAAGCTGCAGTAAGAATAATCATGCAATCCAATCCAGGGCAACACCCCCCCCCCTCACTCTTCAAAGATCTAAACTTACTCACTGTTCAGAACATCCACACTTACTACTGTGCAACCTACATTTACAGAACCTTAAATTCCAACATTAACCCTGACCTAAAACACTTTCTTGATAGTTGTTACAGGACTCGCAGACGTAACACCAGACACAAACATCTCTGACATTCCCCATGTCCGGCTAAACCTATATAAAAATTTAATGTACATAAAAGGGCCTAAAATCTGGAACACCCTACCTGAAAACTCTAGAACTGCAGACACATTCATCACTTTCAAAACTACCGTTAGAAAACATCTTATCTCCCTGACACACCCCACCGTCAGCTAACTACATGAAAACTGCCTATTCTCTTGTATCATACACACACAAAAAGAACCTAGACCTCCCCTCGATATCTGATTCCCCACAATTCGCACCTACTCTCACCCAATTGACTATAAACATAGAAATACATAAAATAACTATTACCTGACGAATCTTAACCAGTCGTAAGTCTGCCTATGATTCTCCAATATAGGAGCTCCAATAGAAACTATGTAATGTACCAAAACAAAGCCATTCACATTGCTAAATTTATGAACTGTAGTGCAGTTACTTAGCCCTAATACCAACATGCTCCTTAATCTGTACCAATACAGAGTTTTGAATTAATCTTAGTCTGCCCGAAATGCCTAGTCATGCTAGGTGGGATAGTGGCCCTCTCTGTAATTAGTTTTACATAATATGTAAACCACACAATATCCTATAGTAGGTAAACCACACAATATCCTATAGTATGTAAACCCCACATTGTAATCTTTATAGAGAATAAACTTGATTTGATTTTATTTGATTTGTAACCCTACACTGTCTAATTTCCACAACACCAATTCTCTGCATAATATTTACACCATGCATTGCCCTAACACACAACATCTCCATTGCCTCCAGCCTCCTCCTCCTTGCTGCAGCATTCACAACCCATGCTTCACACCCATGTAAGTGTTGGTATCACTATACTCTCACACATTCCCTTCTTTGCCTCCATGGATAACATTTTTTGTCTCCAAAGACACCTCAATACACCACTCACCTTTTTTCCTTCATAAATTCTACAGTCAACCTCGTCCTTCATAAATCCATCTACTGACAAATCTACTCCCAAATATCTGAACTCATTGACTTCTTTCATACTCCCTCACTCCAATGTGATATCCAATTTTTCTTTACCTAGCACGTTTGATACCTTCATCGCCTTACTCTTATCTATGTTCACTGTCAACTTTTTTCACACACCCTCCCAAACTCGTCCACTAACCTTTGCAACTTCTCTTTAGAATCTCCCAAAAGCACAGTATCATCAGCAAAAAGTAACTGTGACAACTCTCATTTTGTATTTGATTCCCCATATAATCAAATATCCTCATATAATCAAATATCTCTCTCTTCTTCCCTCCAGAGAGTACATTTCAAGTGTCATGAGGCTTTCCCAGTAATTAAAAACATATTAAATAGATTTATGCAGGCAGTAAACAAACTCTGATACTTCTATATCCTTGAACAAAGTAGTCAACACAGAACAATATTCTAAATAAGAGAGCAAAAAGTAGTTTGAACAGTGCTGCCACAAGTATTATTTCTCATTTTGAATGTTTTTATTTTCCACTCTGTAATTTTTCTGGCTTTCACAACATTTTTCTCAATTCTCTAAATTGTAGATCATCTGACATTTTTTATGGCCCAGTCTCTCATATGTTCATTTCAGTCTATAAGATGGTTCATCTGTATACTGCAGTTAGAATTTATCCAAACTGAACATCCTATTATTTTCCACTGCCAAATGGTAGACTATTCACATCTGCTTCCACTTTTTACTATCCTCTATCAAGGTGACTCATTTTAATTTTTGTATCATCCACAAAGGATGTCTGCTATAAAGATGAGAAACAGTAAAGGCACCAGGACCGAGCCTTTGGTTACTGAATTTTTTATTTTGCAAAGGCTAAAAATTGCTTTGTTTACGAATACTATGTTCAATTCATAATTGAATGTCCATTTTCCCACTTTCCTGTTATAACTACAGTACAGTGGAACCTCAGTTTTTGTATGCCCTAGTTTTTATGTAAAACTATAGTTATTCTCTATAAAATGTATTTTTAGTTAATTCCCACAAGAAATAATGTAAATCCAATTAATCCATTCCAGACACCCAAAAATATTAACAAAAAATACATTTTATAGAGAATAACTATATTTTACATACAAACTAGGGCATACAAAAACTGAGGTTCCACTGTATTTACCTGTATGACCTAACGTTATAATCACATATGTCAAATGCCTTAGAAGAAGAATTATCCAAAAAATGTAGTTATAATAATAATAACATTAATAAGAATGTGGTATATTACCGTGAGTATGGATACGAGCAGCAGAATCTGTTATATCCGTGGTGAGAGTGAAATATGGAAGCCAAAGGTCCTCAATATTGGTGTCTCCTAGTGCATCATGGATAAGCTTGTTGAAGCCAGCACCAGAAAACATGGAAACTTCTGGGTACGTCAGATCTAAAGCCATGCGCCATATGCTGGTCATTTTCTGAAAGATTAAAAAATAGAACTACATATATATTGTATGAAAAAGGGGAAGGTACCTAGGGATTGGCAAAGAGCTTGTATAGTTCCTTTATATAAAGGGAAAGGGAGGCATAAGAAATTGTAAAAATTATAGGGAAATAAGCTTAGTAAGTACACCAGGTAAAGTGTATGGTAGGGTTATTATTGAAAGAATTAGAGGTAAGATAGAAAGCAGGATTGCAGATGAACAAGGAGGCTTTAGAATGGGTAGGGGATGTGTAGACCAAGAGTTTACATTAAAGCATATAAATGAACAATATTTAGATAAAGGTAGGGAAGTTTTTATTGCATTCATGAATTTTGAAAAGGCATGTGATTGGGTGGATAGGGGATCAATGTGGCAGATGTTGCAGGTGAATGGAATATGTATTAAGTTACTAAATGCCAAAGAGTTTTCATGAGGATAGTGAGGCTCAGGTTAGGGTGTGTAGGAGAAAAGGATATTACTGTCTATTAAAAGTAGGCCTTAGACAGGGATGTGTAATGTCACCATGGTAGTTTAAAATATTTACAGATGGAATTGTAAATGATGTAAATGCTAGGGTGCTGGGAAGAAGGGTGCGATTAAATTATTGGTAATCAATTACAAAATGAGAGTTAACACAACTACTTTTTGCTGATGATATTGTGCTTTTGGGAGATTCTAGAGAGAAGTTGCAAAGGTTAGTGGACAAATTTGGGAGGGAATGTAAATGAAGAAAGTTGAAAGTAAGCATAGATAAGAGTAAGGTGATGAGCGTATTAAAAGAGCTAGGTAAAGAAAAATTGGATGTCACATTGGAGGGAAGGAGGGAGTATGGAAGAAGTGAATGTATTCTGATATTTGTGAGTAGACTTTTTCCGCAGATGGGCTTATGAAGGCCGAGGTCAACCGTCGAATTGATGAAAGGAAAAAAGATCAGCCGTGCATTGAGGTATCTGTGGAGACTAAAAATGTTATTCAGGGAGGCAAGAAGGGAATGTGCAAGAGTATAGTGGTACCAACACTCTTATATGGATGTAAAGCATGGGTCGTATATGCTGCAGAAAGGAGGAGGCTGGAGGCAGAAATGTTGTGTTCAAGGGCAATGTGTGGTGTAAATATTATGCAGAGAATTCATAATGTGCAAATTAGGAGGTGTGGAGTTACTAAAAGTATTATTCAGAGGGCTGAAGAGGGTCTGTTGAGGTTGTTTGGTCATATAAAGAGGAAGGAGCAAAAAAGGACGATTTGGAGGGTGTATAAATATGTAGTGGAGGGGAGGAGGGGTAAGGGTCTTCCTAGTAAAGGATGGAGGGAGAGGGTAAAAGAGGAGTAAAAGAGGTTTTATATGCAACAGACTTGGAGCATGTTACAGAGGAGTGAATGGAGATTAATGGTTTTTGGGACCTGACAAGCTGTTGGAGGGTGAGCATGGGTAATATTTTGTGAAGGGATTCAGGGAAACTGGTTAGCCAGACTTGAGTCCTGGAAATGGGAAGTACAATGCCTGCACTTTAACCCTTTGACTGTTGCAAACCCATTTCTGCAACTGTCATTCTATGTCGAAAATATTCGAAAAATAAAAAAATTATTTTTCTTACCAAAATGTTAGGATTACTTTGTCAAGAGTTTTAAACCTAAAAATTTTTTTTTGTGATTATTACTTACTGAGATAAAAAGGCATAAAGTTCACAGAAAATTAGCTGCGTATGGCAACAGTGGCAAATGCTGCACACTTGGTAAACTTTCTTTTACTCCCATTTGAAGGTATCTTGCTTTTCCCACTGCTTTATTTTTTCAGGTAACTTATGTGGCCTGTGAGACCAAAGTAAAGTGCAATTTACATATATACACTCGTTGTATACAACACAATAAGTGCACAAACATAATTATCAATACATGTATATTGTTTACAAAACTTGTTTACACAAACAATAGAAAATTTTTTATTACTATTTCTATAATACATATACAGATGTACATTCACTGGACATGTTCTAGCAGTTCCGAGGCTTGTGGAACTCTTTGAAACATGGTTTCATATACAATGGTGTTTTGCACTCCTCACACATAAAATGAGTGTGTCTGCATTTTTGTGTTTTTTTTTTTTTGTGCACAGACAAAACACAGTTGTGTTTAGTAGTTATCCAAGGAATGTGTGCCATCATTCCTTCCTACCTTCCTACCTTTCTTTCTTTCTTCATTCTTTCTTCCTTTCTTCATTCTTTCTTCCTTTCTTCATTCTTTCCTTCCTTCCATCTGGTTTCTGTAATATATTTACACATATGTAGTCACTGGACACCGTCATATAACTGCTATTATCTTCAGCAAGCATGCGTGCGTGCGTGTGTGCGTGTGCGTGTGCGTGTGCGTGTGCGTGTGTGTGTGTGTGTGTGTGTGTGTGTGTGTGTGTGTGTGTGCGCGCGTGCGTGCGCACTCGCCTAATTGTGGTTACAGGGGTCGAGACTCAGCTCCTGGCCCCGCCTCTTCACTGACTGCTGCTAGGTCCTCCCTCTCCCTGCTCCATGAGCTTCATCATACCTTGTCTTAAAACTATGTATAGTTCCTGCCTCCACTACATCGCTTGCCAGACTATTCCACTTCCTAACTACTCTATGATTGAGGAAATACTTCCTAACATCCGTTTGACTCATCTGAGTCTTCAGCTTCCAATTGTGACCCCTTGATTCTGTGTCCCATCTCTGGAACATCCTGTCTCTGTCCACCTTGTCTATTCCACACAGTATTTTGTATGTCGTTATCATGTCTCCCCTGACCCTCATGTCCTCCAGTGTCATCAGACCGATTTCCCTTAACCTTTCTTTATAGGACATTCCCCTTAGCTCTGGAACTAGCCTTGTTGCAAACCTTTGCACTTTCTCTAATTTCTTGACGTGTTTCATCAGGTGTGGGTTTCAAACTGGTGCTGCGTACTCCAGTATGGGCCTGACGTACACAGTGTATAAAGTCTTGAACGATTCCTTAGAAAGGTACCGGAACGCTATTCTCAGGTTTGCCAGGCACCCATATGTCGCAGCAGTTATTTAGTTAATGCGTACTCCTGGCGATGTACAGTGGTCCCTCAATAATCATCCGGCCTGAAAGTCGTCAATTTCGGAAATAGTCCCGTTATTTCGTCTAAACATTGGCTCGCAAATGGTCCATTAACTCGCTAATCATCCTTTGTCCAGGGCGGGTACTCACGCTGAGCCGCCTGGGCCTGCCTTCCCAGCCAGTGTGCCATTGTTTACCAGTGAGCGACGGTCCCCTCACATGCTCCTACGAAATATTTCATAATATTCCATTGATTTTAGTGCTTGCAAGTGCTAAATAAGCTACCATGGCTCCAAAGAAAGCTTCTAGTGCCAGCCCATTGGTAAAGAATGTGAGAAACACATAATTTATGAAAAAGTTTGTAGAAAAATACAAAGGTGGTGGTGGTAGAGTGGAAGCAGTTGTGATAGTGGTTGATGGTGGTAGTGATGGTGGTAGAAGGTAGCAGTGATGGTGGTAACAGTTGTAATAGTGGTAGAAGGTCATAGTGATGGTGGTAGAGGGTTCCTTCTTTAGTGATTCAGCGATTCTACCAACTCCTCCAATGTAGCTGGAGTTATATAGGGCTACAGAAAACACCGCCGCCTCAGCTGCTGCTTCACCACCATTATGGACAGCTTACTCTCAGTGGCCCTTATACACCCAACAACAACACAACACCTCTCGTGACATACATAATGAATTATTTTATTCATTCTAGAGAATATTCCATGTTTCTATGTTATTAACATTGTTTATTATGTCATATTAGTTGAATTGTGATAGATAAATAAGCCGCGGAGTTGATAATAAGTGTCATATTCTCCAACAATAAACTTGCCATCCCTCCCTCACACAAACAAGTCTCCAATAAGAACATATGAAAGGAGGAACACTGCAGTAGGCCTGGTGGCCCATACTAGGCCGGTCCATAACAAATCCAATCCATTAACAGAACAAATGCTACCCAAGCAATAAGCTCAGGTGCAAGTCCGACTCAAATCCAACCCCTCTCACTCATGTATTTATCCAACCTGGAAATATAAACACAAATGCAGTATAATGTGATCCTTTATTGACAACGTTTCACCCACACAGTGGGCTTTTTCAAGTCACACACGGATCTACCGTGTGTGACTTGAAAAAGCCCACTGTGTGGGTGAAACGTTGTCAATAAAGGATCACATTATACTGCATTTGTGTTTATATTTCCATTGTGTCGGTATTTTATACCGTTTATTTCCATTTATCCAACCTAAATTTGAAACTACTCAATGTTTTAGCTTCGATCACCCTACTAGGCAGACTGTTCCACTCATCAACTAACCCTATTACCAATGTTCATTTATACATTTTATTAGTGCTTTACATTTATTTGGCTTTACATTTATCTGCCAGATGACTGTGAAACAGAAACCTGTAACTGTTTTGCATGATGGTAGGATTGCTGGTTTCTTTTTCTGTCTCATAAACACACTAGATAACAGGGATATCTTGCTACTCCTACCCACACTTTGGTCACACTTCACAGACACGTACATGCATATATATATACATACATCTAGGTTTTTCTCCTTTTTCTAAACAGCTCTTGTTCTTCTTTATTTCTTCTATTGTCCATGGGGAAGTGGAAAAGAATCTTTCCTCCGTAAGACATGCGTGTTGTATGAGGCGACTAAAATGCCGGGAGCAATGGGCTCATAACCCCTTCTCCTGTAAACATTTACTAAAAAAGAGAAAAAGAAAAACTTTATAAAACTGGGATGCTTGAATGTGCGTGGATGTAGTGCGGATGACAAGAAACAGATGATTGCTGATGTTATGAATGAAAAGAAGTTGGATGTCCTGGCCCTAAGCGAAACAAAGCTGAAGGGGGTAGGGGAGTTTCGGTGGGTGGAAATAAATGGGATTAAATCTGGAGTATCTGAGAGAGTTAGAGCAAAGGAAGGGGTAGCAGTAATGTTGAA